GTCTAATAAAGAGCTGAACAGCCAATAGTGAGGCTGGAGTAGGGATAGCTGGGGCTGGCAGGCAGAGAGAAAAAAATAGGAGGAGAAATCTGGGAAGAAAAGATCAAGGAACGAGAAAAGGAGAGAGGACACCAGGGGCCAGTTACCTTGCTACACATCAAGCCACAGAGTAAGAAGTAAAGAAAGGCATATAGAATACAGAAATATAAAAGCCCAGAGGCAAAAGATAGATGGGATAATTTAAGCTAAGAAAAGCTGGCAAGAAACAAGCCAAGCTAAGGCCGGGCATTCATAAGAACGAGTAAGTCTCTAAGTATTTATTTGGGAGATGGGTGGCATTCCCCACCCCCACAAAGAGTACAAAGCAAAGGGCCAAAAGAGCAAAACAACCAACTACAAAAGACAGCACAGCACTGGGTGCCACGTGACTTATTCTCCCAGTTTTAATACCCCTGCCATAACCAAACCAACATGGGGTTATAGTTACGTAAGAGAGTAGAGGTTCCAAAAGGGTCTCTCTGAGAGAAACCACTGTTCCTTAGAGTAGCTCAGTCCAGAGAGAGAGAGAGAGAGAGAGAGAGAGAGAGAGAGAGAGCTCTCCCTTCCTCTTCAGCCCTTAGCAACCACTTAGTTTGAGCCTGTTTCTCTTCTTAGCCCTGAATCCAGCTGGGAGACTCACATTTTCCCTTGGGTTTATAGACCTTAAATGCACTCACTGTCCTTCAAAACACTTCCCTTCCTTCCTTGTGTAAATAAATTCCCTTTCAATGATCTCCACTTGTCTTAAACAAACAAACAACATCCTGGGAATCCTCAGAAGTGATCCGTCAGCCTGGAAACGTGTGGTGGTAGTTACACCGCAGACTCTTGGGTCAGGCTGAAATAAAGAGGAAGTGAGAACGGATGATTTAATTGCTCACAGGAACGCATCGACTGACAGCAGAGTTGGGGCGGGACCGTGTTTATTCAGGTTTGATGGATCTGTGACATTAACGAAAGTGTGCACATAAGGACCATCAGGAGATGAGCCCATTGGGAGAGTGAGAGGCACAATGGCAGCTAGAACCCTAATGGGGCCACCAAGTCCTTGGCTATTGTGCAAGAAGCTAGGGACCCGAGAAGCCATTTCCAGTGTTAATGCCAGTCTATTTGCCAACGAGCTAGGGTTACAGGGTGTTGTCCTACTAAATGTATGGGAGCTGCTACTATGACTGATGTCAACCGTTCACTCATTCAAGTAACTCATTCAAGGCCACAGAGGCATTCCTTGACGTTAGAAAGGACGATAATTTCAGAGGAGGAAAAAAAAAGTCCATGTTGCAGGGGATTTCCTGAGACAGTCATCCTCACACTGGTCTCATTCCAGTCCCACCCTCTCCCTGGGGCACACAGGGCATCTTCCCTCCCGCGACACAGAGGGCCTAATGGTACTTCTATCAAAGCACCTCTGCAAGAGTTCAGTGAGTTCACATTCAGAGAGTTCTGCGCACTCCGTGTGTGTCAGCCGGCGCTCACATGTCACGTCTCCACCACTTCAGGGGACTGAAGTGATGATCTGTCCCTGTAAGTTTCTTCCCGTGAAGCACGTGAGGGCTTTTCAGGAAGACCCTGACATCTTACAACTTGACACCATGTCTGGAGGAGGGGGGGACCATAAATGTCTTTAAGTGAAGTCTTCACATAGATACGGCCCCTTTAAGAAAGATTTATAGTGAAGAGCAGCAAACTGGCCCGGAGGTGTCTCGGTAAAGAAAACTTTAGCCAACTCATTTCCTAAATTGACGGTCATAGGAAAAACATCCCTTCTTGTAATTTCTCGTAATGTTTCATGGAATTAGAGTTCTACTGGGGATCACATACTTCTGTTTAGATTTCTGTTTTTCTCTCTTAGTCAACTTCTTAAAATTTATTTTAGAATTCTAAGTTTATATGCATACAAATAGAGATAAAAAATCTTGGGTTGATTTGCACGTTGGTTTGAGTAGATATTCTGGCTAATGCATTTAAGCAATCTAACGCTACAGAACGTGCTTCAGTATGTTCAATCTTCATTGGAAAACATTCTGCAGCCCTCTCGACCTCTAATAAAATACAGCCGCATGGGGATTTGTTAAAGTGAGGCTTTAGTTTCATCTGGGTCGGGATCAGAGGCTCGGCATTTCTAAGCAGCTAGATGGTGCCAATGAGACCAGTGTCTGGACCACACACTGAGGGCAGGTTCCCCTGCTGCCTTGGTAAACTCAGTAGAACAAAAACAGTCAAATTGTTAATCCAAGTAAAATCGTACATGCTGCTGATGGAGCCACACAAGGAAATAGTCTGGATTTTTTGTTTTTTAAAAAATCAACCCGTTTTCTGATGGGGCTCCTAACCAGTGATTCTCTAAAAGGGCACCTCATACAAGTCTGTACATCACACACACAGCAGATCTTGTGTGTCACCAGAGTTAGGAGCTGAAGAGGACACGCAGGGAAACAGTTGGCACGTAGACACCGGTGGGGAAATGAGTAAGGATGGCATTGAACATAATGCCAACTGGACAATGATACGGACAGGATTTAGGTAGAAGAATCGGATTGCTGTGTCCTGAGACGTACTGCAGGCTCAGAAAGGGGAAACGAATAATTAGACACGCATTCTGGGAGAATGCGGACATGGATGACTGTGCCCTAATGCGCCCTGGACTATTCAGTGCAGGGACAATGTAGAGAAGAGGAGACATCCTCTTCCCGATCCACTGCCTGGCACTCCTTATCCTCCTAACCATGATTTATTCTCCCTACATTGGTAAGGCCAGCACTTACTACCGTCTTGCACATTACGTATTTATCAATCGCATCTCCTGCCTGTCTCCTCTACTAGAATACATGCTCCTCAAAGGCAAGAATTTCTGTTTCGTTCTCTGATGTGTCCTAAGCCCTCAGCAGACAAAAGGCCCCCAATAGATAGTCACCGAATGAACAGATGGTTGGACAAGTAAATGAACACATTAGGTGCACTGAACGTCATATCAGAGGAAACTATTATACACATTCAAAAATGTTGCCTGCTTCCCTATGAGAGCTACCTGGGTTCCTCAACAACAAAGTCTTTTTTCTTTCCTCTTTTATTTGCCAGGTAGTAAATTTTGAGTTTTAGATAGTGCTCTGAGGTAATGGGATTTGCACATACCCAGTCCCACCTTACAAATGGTGTTGGGGTGAACGTTCCCCAAATTGAAGCAATTTTGTATGTAGTTCTTTCAGTCAGCACATACAGATAAGAATTTTTTTTGTTTTATTCCCAAATAGTACAGTGAACTTTGAAGATGTAACTAGATTTTTTTAAAGGATAATTTATTTCTCTCTTATGTATATGGGTGTTTTGCCTGTGTGTGTGTGTGTGTGTGTGTGTGTGTGTGTGTGTGTGTGTGTGTGTGTGTTTGTGCCACACGTACGCAGTATCCTCTGGAATTGGAGTTACTGATAGTTGTGAGTCACCATGTCAATGCTGGAAACCAAACCCAGGTCCTCTGAAAGAGCAGCCAGTGCTCTTAACCACTGAGCCATCTCTCCAGCCCCAGGTGCAAATATTTTTTGAGATATTACATCCATTTCTTTGGCATGGATAAAGTGTTAAACACTTTATCTTATGAGTTTATTGTATCTTAGTTCTCATTTTAACACTACAAGGAAGACTGTTACATCTAAGAAACTGGAGACCAAAGAGCTTTTGATAACTGGCATAGGATCAGAAACAGCCAGGAAGTAGCCGTGAACTCGCCTACTCTGCGTGTGTTTTAAGCCTGTTCAGATGAGAGTTTGAATACAAGCAAGGATCTGGGCAACTTGGTATTCTTAGTGAAGTTCTCTGAGGCCGGTCCAGATCTGGAGTCGGTCGGAAAGGGTAAGCCACGCTGTCCTCCACCCTCCACTGCTTAAGAGACCAAGCTTGCCAAAAGAAACCCAATAAACTGCATGTGGAGATTTCACCAATTCCCTGAAATTCAAAATAGTATTTTTATCCCAGGCTGGACTTGAATTCATGACCCTTCTGCCTCTGCCTCCTCTGCAAATCCTACCGGTGCGTACCATCACAACCGGTTAAACTATGCATTTTTAAAGAGCATGTTTTTTTCCTTTAAAAGAGGGGTTGGGGTAGGGTGGGGTGGGTGGAGTGGGGTCCCAGAGTGCTTGTTCCCGTTGTATTGCTTCCGTCCGGTCATTGATTTCAAGCCAGAACCTGGAGTCCTCAGTAAAGATAACAAGCATGATCGTGAACTGCCAAGTGGTTCCTCTAGCCTAATAACTTCTTGTTGAGAGGCTTACAGATCCCATTGTGGCGTTTTAAGCTTTGCATGCCACCGGACACTGCTTGGCTCTGTACGCATGCGTCACACTTACGTGTAGCGCCACGCACAGGAGCAGACCTTTGAAAATTCTATTCACTCTTCAAGTAAACTTCTGGGAGCTATGCCAACAGAGAGGCCGAACCGAGCCTGTGGGTGCAGTGTTTTAAGAGAGAGCATACAATTATTACGCTCTGAATCAGTCATGATAACAGGGTGACTACGTTTGAGCAGTGTCAACGGAAGTTCATTCATGATGGCGTGAAAAACCCTGGGTTGTTTTCAGGTGTCCAAGGTCATTGTTCAGGCGAACGGTAGCGCATCCGAAGGGTCAGGGACCATTCTCTTTCATCGGCTTAGTTTCGCCTATTGTGTACCCTATACTCACATTTCCCCCTTCACCATTCCTATGGCTTCTCGTATTCTCTTGTGGCGCTAAAGAAACTTCTTTATCAGGACAAGAAAAGGAGATTCCCCTTCACGAACACTGGACCGTTTTTAACTGAACAGGTTGAGAATTCTTGGCTCCTATTGATAAGAAATTAGCTGATCTCTCCGAGTGTATTGTCTGAGGAGTCATCAACCTGCTCGCGCGGGCCAGCAAAGGGAAGGCTAAGTGAGATGGGTCGGGTTTGCATCGATCACTTTCGGCACCAGGCACGCACGCGCTCACCTTTGCAGGCATCTGGGGCGGAGAAAGGTAGCCTGAGGTCCCGGTAGAAGCCCGGCTTACAGCGCTGGCAGTGCTGACCTTCGGTGTTGTGCTGGCAGTTGGTGCAGACGCCCCCGCTGCGGTTCCCTGACGCCTCCCACACCTGGCTGTCGAAGTGACAGGTGTCAGCGTGCCCGTTGCACTTGCAGGCTGGCGACAAAACAGACAGGAGGGACATAAAAACCACTGCCGAGGGTTCACTGGTGAGCGAGATGTGAAACTAGGATGGAGTTAAATTTAAATTTCATTTATTTACAGAAGAGGAGCTAGCACAATAATAAAGGCAATACAAAAAGGAATATTTTAAGAGCTAACTTGCTTTCCCTTGATCGGGATGCCACTTTTATTTTACGCTTCTTATCTGGCTTTTCACTTTTCATTATATAATTGGTCTTTTAAAGGGTTCATATATGTATGAAGGTCATCATGATCACCGGTGTGGATTGTTAGCTGGACGGAGTCTAGATCACTTGGAAACTTAGCTTCAGCATGCCTGGAAATTATCTTCAGTGTGTTCATGGGTGTGGGAGGAGCCATCATAGCTGTGGACCAGGCCAATCTTTGGACAGAGAGTTTGGAGAAGACAGTTGAGCGCATGTATTCCCCGTTGCCTGTTTTCTGATTGTGGATGCGGTGTGATGTGACCACCTGCTTCAAGTCCCTATACTTGACTTTCCTGCCTGTCCCTTTGAACTGTATGCCAGAATAAGCCCCTTACATGGCTTTTTGTCAGAGTAACCAAACACGGCAACAGGAAAAGAAACTAAAACATTTATCAGAGTAAAGGAAGATATGTCCATTCAGCCAAAGGCATTCTGGCTACTCTGAGGCTGGCATCTATTTTGGAAAGATATTTGAGCGGTCACCAGTTTTCCTCTTGGATGGTGCCGCTTGAGCTTGTCCATTCCTGCTACTTTCTCGGGATCAGTGGATCTCTTGCCTCTGGGGAGAAAACCTAAGACTCTTGGCATTATTTGAAAAATACAGGGTGTATTGCAGATAGAAACCATAATTCATGCTTGCCCATGAGCCTGCAAAGAAACACTTGGTGGACAGTGAACAGAGCCTAAGTATCTCTCGTTTGTGGTACTAAGGTCAAAGGCTTCACATGTGCTAGGTGCTTTGTGTGTATGTGTGTGTGTGCACACGTGCATGTGTGTACATACCACTGCACACATTTGGGCATCAGAGGACAAATGTGCAGAGATCAATTCTCCCCTTCCACCACATGGGTTCCAACTGGAACTCGGGTGTTTCCTTCCTTCCACAGTGTGGAGCCTGGGGATTGAACTCAGTCATCAGGCTTGGTGGCAAGCCCCTTTACAAGTTGAGTCTTATTGCTGGCCCACCTTTTTGCATTTTATTGTGAGACAGAGTCTCACTTAGCTGCCCCAGCTGTCCTTGAAGTCACTTCATAGCCCTGGCAGGCTTTGATCTTGGGATTCTCCTGCTTCAGTCTTCTGAGTAACTGAGATCAGGGGCCTGAGCCATCAGGACTTGGTTTAGGTTTTCTCCTGTGGAGTAATATGTCTCAGCCGTTGTCCTTTGGTGACTCAAAGGAATTCTGCTATTGAAACTTCAGTTTATAGGGGAGGCCTCCGTGCTCCTTATGTAATAATTTCTCAGTGGCATCTCTGAGCTTATAAGTCTTTAGCTCCAAGTGACAGTCTCTGTGTCTGTATGTACTTAGATATACAGTGGGTTCCCAAGGAAAGGACTAGAAAGGCACTCTAGGAATTTAGGAGAAATTCTTTAGATTCTCTTGATAAGTGATTTAGAATAAGAATCCAGACATCCCCTCCACCCCACCCTGGAAGTCAACTGTATTTGAAAATGCTAGTGCTATTTTTTCCCCCTTGTTTCCTCGACCTGTCATGGTATTTTTCCCAGACTCGTATCTTGAAAAGGCATAAGGCGATTTGATATTTATGCTTAGAGGAAATCCTTTATATTTCTTAGAAACAAATCCATTCCGATTCCAGATTGTGTGTGGGGAGAGATTTCTCGGAACTTTATTCAAAGAGTAAACACTTTCAAATCTGGCAATAGGGCCGAGTGGACAAGAATGTGCTAACTGCTTGGACACTTTGGAGGAGCCAAATGTTGTCCCTGAGAACCTGACGTGGTACAAACATGAGTAGACACAAGATTTAAAAATTCTCCTAAAACAGGCTTGGGACTGGAACCATTTCAGTGAGCACATGTGTTTCTCAGAACATCTGGCCACTTGAATGCCAACCCGATATCATTGGACCAGATTCTGCACATTGTAGTCTGGAAAGAGAAAAACGGTTCATCTTCCCATGGCCTATCTTCTCTTCTCCAAATGCAACCCCAAAATCAATCCTAGTAAACAACCCCATTCTTGACTTCCTGGTTTAATTTTGAGTCTAATCCACCAGTGGGGAACATATCTTATAGGACCCCTGAAAGCGTGGGATCAAATCCTCCTTCCTTCATTTTCTAACTCTGGCAAGACATTTAATCTTACTGAGCCTCAGTTTCCCGATTTCTAAAACAGGATTGACACCATCTTCTCTCTTGGGTTGTTTTGTAAGCTGAATTTAGAAGAAGCTGTTACCATGTTTACCGTTCAGTATCACAGCTACAAGAGCCGTGGGACACTGTAACCCTTATGTAACCCTTAGTTGCTCTTGTGTCTACTCGTTTTTGTATCACATCAAGTTCTCAAGGACAGCTTTTAGGTCCCGCAAGGCTCCAAGCGAATAGACAGCACATTCTTGGCCACTCAGTCCTATTGGCTGCGAACTAACTGTTTCCAATGGCTGGAGTCATGCTGGGCAGTGATATGGCTATGTTTGTGTATAGCTTCTGTCGTCCACCACTTTATATTGTGTTTCAAGAGATAACAAGGAATTCACAGATAAGTGTCGTCTACAAAGAAGGCTTTTAAATAGTGGAGGTTGATACTTACTTCTGCACTCGTTAGGAGCCCCCGTTCTGCCATCGGCTGCCTCCCAGGGCCGGTCGTTGTACAATGGCGCACAGTGCTGACAGTGGCTGCCGGCTGTGTTGTGCTTGCACATGCATTTCCCGTGCACCTACAAACACCATTAAGGCAGAGCTGTGAGCATGGGCCGCGTCGCTGAGGGAGGAATTCTCCTCCGGTCTCTCCCTGCACCCGTTGCTTTAGCCGGGAGACATTGATTCTTTTTTTTTTTTTTTTAAGAAATTAGCGAGTGCAAGGAAAAATACTTATAGTCTGTCTTGTGATTAACTAAAAAAAGAAAGAAAGAAAAAAAGATTTTTCTTGACTATAGAATCTATGGTGTAATGAGAAATTCTGTGGTATTAGCTAAGTATTTAAGTCAGTTTTAATATCATTAGTTTAAAGAAAAAAAATTTAGCGTAAAATAGTGCATCTTTACTGCAAAAATTTAGAAATTTGTAATCTTTTCAAAAATGATAATATAAACATTTGAATATATATATATATATATATATATATTTCTAGTGCCTTAAAATGCAGTTAAGGACTTTTCTACATAACATGTTAAGAACGTGGTGGAGTATGTGGTCTAGCATGTGCAAGACCCCCTGGGGTTCGGTTCTCACACTGCTATCCAAAAAAGGAAAAGGAAATCTGTATGCTTTCTCTAGCATTCTTGTATATCAGACATTCTCTTGTGAGTAACAGCTTAACTGAGCAATCCCCTACTTCTTTATCACAAAGGCTTAAACTCGTGGTTTAAGCACTACAGTGAATATCCCTGTAGATCAACTTGTATAAACTTGTATAAATTTGTGTAACTCTTTACTTCTCCTAAATGTGTTTCCTAGAAGTAAAATTAATCGAAGAGCCGAAGAAATATTGCTAAGACTTTGAATACACATTGTCATCATTACTGGGCTTTTCTTTTGACCCCACAACTGAATTCTGGGGGGTCATCTAAAATACCATGTTTCTCAGAGAAGAATGCTTCTGTAGAATCCTTAAGGAGATATTTTTGGTCCTCATTTCACTGGTAATGTTAGAAAATACCTTGGATCATCACGTATCACCTAGTAAGAATTACCATGGGGTCCAGGACCAAAATGTATCTCTGGATACTGATACAGTGACTGTAGAGGTGGGACTTTGTAGTACAACTCTGAACGGGCTCCATAAACTCAAAGCTACAAGTTTCTCCTCAAAAACAGTTCTTAAAATGATTCAGCATTAAGGTAACAAATCTTGTCAACCAGTCAATGAATACTAATTGATGATCTAGAAGGGACAGTCACGATGGGGCACTGAGTTTGGTACACAAAGCGTCACCTTTCTATTTATTTTTACTAATGTGTGCATGTGAATATATCACATGTGTTCCGGTGCCTTCAGAGGCCGGAAGAGGATGCTAGATTCCTAGAGCTGAAGTTAAAAGCTATTGTGAGCTCCCCGACCTGGGTACTGGGAACTGAACTGGGGTCCTCTGGAAGAGCCCAAGGCACTTTGAACTGCAGGATCATTACCCGAGCCACAGTATTTCTTTTCTTTAAGAAAGGATGAGGAGTTGGTGGTAGCTGGAGAGATGGCTAAGTAGTTCAGAGCACTGACTTCTCTTCTAGAAGTTTGATCCTCAGCGCCTATGTGGTGGCTCACAACCATCTATAATGCCAGTCCCAGAGATCTAACACCTTTTAGATTTAACACCTGGGCAACAGGTACTGCAATGGGGTACACATACAGGCAAAACACCAACAAGAGAATTTGGGTGGTTGGAGAGAGAGTGTGGTTGTTAGAATATACTGCTTTTCAAGTGGACCCAACCTAAGTTCAGTTCCCAGCAACCATATCAGGAAGCTCAAAGCTGCCTGTAACTTTAGCTCTAGAGGAATCCAACACATCTGGATTTTGCAGGCATCTGCACACACACACACACACACACACACACACACACACACACACACACCAGCATATATATACACATAATTAAGAATAAATTTTTATAAAGGAAAGGATATAGTACAGTTGAAGCAAAGACAATCATGTAGGAGAATGCAGCACTAAACAAGACAGCAAACAAACACAAAAGAGTGAAAAACAATGCAGGAATTCAAAGGGTCTAGAACTGATCTTAGACTGACTGATGTGGAGGGCATTATGAAAGGTGTGGGGCTTGATCTGGCCTTGGCAGATGGACTGCATTTCCAACAAGCTGAAAAGAAGAAATTTCCCAGGACATGTAAATCACATAAACCGAGGTGTTAGGGAGCTCTGTGAGCAAGGGTGATCTTTGAGGCTGGAGCAGGGATTTTCATCATGGCTGAGAAATGATGAGGATTGCAGTGGACCAGAGTGTGCACTAGAGACACAGGCGTGATCTAGACCAGAGTGTGCACTAGA